AACTTGGTCTTCGGCTGGCTTCTGACACACACCTACTGAATGTGTTTTCAATTGCTTCAACATGGCCAATATGTCCATTAAAGGGCTTCTTTCCCATCTACTGTCTTTTAGATGAGAAGGTTGCATTAGCCAAAACAGTGTTAACTGGGCTTCTAGAATTGATAGCAGAGCTTACGCTGTTTCAGGAATATCTCATTTCTTGTTTACCACATATGTGGGTTTTCACAGTATCTTATAAATCCTTCTTTGTTCAGTAAAGTTACATAAGTGTTGTGCTGATGCAAAAGTGAAGGGAAACTCATGATGGATGAGGTCAAAGAAAACTAAGAGAGACTGACTAAAATCACCCCTGGAATTTTGCTTTAGATTTCAATTGAATTGAACACTCTTCAGATGGCAGCCAGTAACAAAGGGAAGATCATGGATGGGGGGCCATTCCACGCTTATGTCCGTCAAATTGAACTGAACCCGCAAAACGGCAAAATCTTCTTCAGATTCTTTGTCAAGTGAGTAAAAATAACAGAGCAAAAATGCCTGGGAATGTCTGGACCTGACAGAGGGTCTGTGTGACTCAGGGTCTACAGGGAACTACCTGGATTATGGTCAAGAACACAAGTCTCTGGGGTTTGTGTTAGAGGGCCTTATATATGTTGTTCATATTTAAAAGAGCCTCTACAAAATGTCCTGAGTGTTTGCTTGGAGAGAAAAGTGTCAGGGGTGCTCCTCAGAAGCACCTCAATGGAGAACAGAGATGAGAACAGCCAGAAGGGTGTGGGGTCCTCAGCACCTATGGTTCCTGCGGGCCGACTGGAATATGTCCTGTGGAATTTGTAAAGGGCCTTCACCCTGAGAGGAATGCAGCTCCTCAAAGTGTGAGCAGGTGGTGACGCACATAATCTCTGTCCCCATGAACTTTCTCAGAGCAAAGCGTCGTCATCACTAAGCCATCACAGCCTTCACGGCATCAAGTATTCCTGATGGAGGTTGAGGGCTTTGTAGTTTTCATTAAGAACCCCGATGACTAAGAGGAGATGAACTGGTTTTCAACCTTCCTTGGTCAAAACAGAGCCAGGGATACAGTTACATAGACGCGTAGCAATAATGCATTCTATCATCCTGGTATGGATGAGGGAAAAGAGGACATCAAATCAGAGGAATGGTGTGTGAGGGGTCTCAGAGGGTCACAGCACAAGGGACAGGGACACGATGCCTCTGAAGGACAACTGGGACCATCAGACAAAGGACACTGGAAAGAGAAGTGTTGGCGTCATCAGAGGCACCCAGTTATTTTAAGGAAGTGTTCAGGAAATGACAAGTAAGGACAGGGTTAGTAAGTGCAGAACACATGGGAATGGTACCAGGTGAGACTCGTTAAAAGAAAAATTAGGGTTCCTTCGGAAGGCTCTTTATGTCCATGGATCGGTTTTATCTTTCCCCCCATGAGAAATGGGCACATATTACATTGGGGAGCAGCCACAGTCAGTGACTTTTTTCTGATTATGCTTCTACTATGGCGTTTGAGAATACTTTTCCTTACAAATATCATTTTCTCCTTTGATTTGTCATTTTTACCATTTTTGTGTCCTTCCATGTTGAATTGACTTGACACATTCTGATCATTCTGATATCAGCTTAACTGAATTGTCATTGTCATGGGAATATATGCATCTCAGCGAAGGACAGAGTTCAAGAGTTTGACGTTTTGCACACACCTGTCTCACCACTGCCGCACGCATAACATAACCTATTTCCGTTAGCACAGAAAGTTCTCTTTGCAGCATTGTACTAGGCCACATTCAAGTACTTTGTTTGTATATGTCACAAAGTGGACATTGTCCAGCTATTGGATCAGGTTGTGGTCATTTTGAGTGACTTCAGTGTGAAGAGCTCGGTATTAATGTCTCTGTTAACAAGCATTTTCAGTTTTCAGGGCTAAGTGTTCAATGGCTCCACCGGAGTCCACATGTGTATTTAAGTACAGCTGTCAAATGAATTTCTAAGTGAAGGAGCCTTTGCATTATCATTGGCAACTGATGAAATGTTCTGTTTCAACACATGCATTCTAAACCTTGGCATGGACACCGTTTATGATTTTATCCAGGCTTGTGTAATGGAGATGGAATCTCAGCGTGGTTTTAATTTGCATGTGTCTAAAGACAATAAACCATGAGTACCATTTCCTAAGACCATACTTTGCAGAAGTGACTGTTCAATGACTTGCCCAATTTCACCTGGATTAATTCCTGTTTTATCATTTGCATTGTTGTATGTGTTCATTCCACGTTCCGAAAGCAACTTTTTTTGCCATATACTCACACAGAGGCACACAGTGTTTGTTACACACCGACATAGATTTATACTCATAGTATTTATTGCATGTGTATATTTCTCCATGTCATATATGGATCATGTGCATGTTGGTGCCCCTCTGGGTGTGTATACACTGCCTTTGTACACACACATGTGCCTCTGAGTTTCATTTTCTTAACAGTGTTTCTCTAGGAGATAAAGATGGTGGATTTGATTACATTCTTAATTTTTTTCTTTCCTTTTCGTGATTCCTATCTCTTCTGTCATCTAAGATCCTTGCCACGTTTGTGACCATGAGTAAGCCGTGCCCGGGAAGCTGTCTCTCTGTTTGCAGAATGACCTGTTTTGCATCTGGATTATGTCTTTGCCACAACTGCTCAAACCTCACCTGCATGAAATATCCTTCACTCAAGAGTTACGTGATCCTAGATAACTTATTTCTTCTCTTTTGATAGCACATAGTTCACAGGCATTAAAATGAGGCCTGATACAGGGTCACAGTGAGTCAATGAAACTAATAGTGACAGATGAAATTTAATTACTGCTGTCAATCCACTGGAATCTGTTTTCTTTTTAAGGGAAAATGGAGAATGTGTACGAAAAGTGAGTGAGGGAAAAAAAACAGAAGATGATGTTTACAAGATTAAGTGTAAGTACAACTATTTCATTTGTAAAAGCATCTCAGGGCTGGAATCTTGGCCTTGTCTTTCTGGAACCCCATATATCTGAATTCTAGGTCTCCTAAGAATGGAAAGTGTAACTTAAACACTGCCTGGTAAGGGACGGCTGTGAGGTGTCATTTATAGTTGACCCAGAGAATGTGAAGTCAGAGGGTTTGGTGGTAAAGTAGGGCATAAAAATGCATATTGCCTTCCCCGCAATCCCGGCAGAATGATGGCACAGCTGGAGAGATGTGGGGCCCCAACCAGGTGGGATGTAATGTAGTTGTTCCACCTGCCATGAACTCCATATTCTCCCAAGTGAAACTGTCATAGTCCCACACTGACGTGGTAGGGGCAGCCACACATTTGCCAAGAAACGCACGTAGATGCAGCCTCAGCAGAAAGGCCGTCATTACTACGCAGTGTCCCTCGGCTGCCCGGTGCACGGCAGGCCCTGGAACAGTTACGCAATGTTTCGAACGACCCATGGATTTTGATCTGCAAGAGAAATCAATTCATGGGTTGAGCGAGGGAGATTCAAAATAAGTTCTAAACTTGGAACCGATTTTATGACATTTAAGGACATGTCATGTTTAAAGAAACAATGGCCTCACTAGAACACAGGGCTGGAAACCATTTTAGTAAGTGCATGATGTGAAGTGAGGAGAAGGCCATGGAGAAAGAACTCCCTAGTCTTGTCACTGCCCTCATCCAAGGAGACACCACAGCACGGCTGCAGGGACAAAGGGATCAACAGACAATCTTGTTGCCAATGGGGCAAATAAGCCAAGATGAAGCGAATCCCAAAGAATTAAGTCAGCAGATATTTATTGCTTTACCTATTTATGTATATTTACATATCTCTTTAAGTATGTATGTGGTATATGCGTAGCTGTCTGTGTATTCCTCTCTCACAGATTCTGGAGAAAATGAATTCAAAATTCTCTATAAGAATGAAAATGCTATGATCGCAGAGATAAAGAACACGGATGCGGAAGGCATGGAAACGAACCTGATTGCATTGTTTGGTACGATTCTGTCCTACAATATGCCACCATCACTGTAGTATCATGTCTCCATTGTCCCTTTTCTAAATCACAAAATCAGTGCGTGTTCACATGGATCCTTATTCCGTATGTACGGCCCAGTCCTTCTGTCCACGGAGAGGTGTGGTCGGCAGAGAAAAGTGGTCAGAAGGACGTGGGGAGGGGCGGCAAAGTATCAGATCATCAATGAGATGTGAAGCCCCTTTATTCAAATTAACAATGGTTTAGACTTAACTTTTATTAGGGACAGTTATTAACAGAGCAACTAATTTCAAGTCATAGTTCTATTTAGTTGACTTCAATTCCTTCATGTCTCAGAGAATTTAACAAATATACTTAATCGCCGGGACAGGAAAGCATTTAAAATTCACCTTCACGATTAATCTTTCCATCACTGCTCTTATGAACATTGACAATTTCCAGCACCGAATACCCACACAGGGTTGTGCATGGGTGGGCGGCAGTCTGGGATACAGGGTTTCTATCCAGACGAGATCTGAGGTCTGGTAAAATGGTGTCTCCCCTGCCTGTGGGCCAAGGCTGCTGTTTCCCTGTGCATGACATCGGAGTTCGCGGTTACTTGGGCCCAGACCAAGGCATGAATGTCAGACATGGGGTCTGGGAAGGAGGCGGAGATAAAGATCATAGAGATTCTAGATGGACTGGCCCCAAATTCATCGTGCTCCTCATGCGTCCCTGGAGTGAGCTGCCGAGCTCGCAGAGGGCACCGGTACTGAGCTGTGTGGGGTTTCCCTGTCTTACCCACCCAAGGCAGGCAGCGGGCACGGTGATGCATTCAATGTCCACACTGGATGCTGTTTGATCACAGCCCGTGAAGACCTGGTTTCCACATTCATTTTCTTCCTTCCTGCATTCAGAAATTCTCTGCGGCTCTAACTGACAGATTTCTGCATTATGCATGGTGATTTTCAGGCAAAGAAAGTGATATTAGTGAGGAAACCGTGGCCAAGTTCAGGAAGATAACGGCAGACACGGGAATTCCAGAAGATAATATCGTCAATATCATCAGTTCTGGTAAATGGACTCTTATTTTTTCCTGAATATATCAAATACCCCTTACGGTCCCAAATACCCTGGGAAACAAATTAACTCATTTTCAAATTCCTCCCCCACCAAATATCATCGATAAATTCTCTTATTTAAATATAGATATCATTAGAAAGATTGGGAAATGCAGTGACGCCTCTTTTTTTCTCTCCAGACGACTGTCCTGAGATTTATTGAAAACAGGATGCACAGCCTCTCAATGGTGTAAGTAAACACGTCCTGTTACTCGTCTGCTATGCCATGTAACTCCGTCAGCCCAGATGCAGACTTCATGGAGGGCCATGTTCTTTAAAGCAAGTTTTCTTCTGGTCCTACTTCCTAATGTCACCTGAGAACATGTTCCTGCTGGGTGAGCTCCTGAGATTGGTCCTGTGCCCGATGAAACTGCACCTGCAGGAACAGGCTAGTAATGAGCAGGTTTGGGGAGAAAGCACCACCAGGCTGGGACTGTGCAAACGACGGTCGTCAGAGACTGGCAGGACCTGGTGGGGACGCAAGGAGACATGCTGAGTTTCCCAGTGCGTCCTGTGGATGGTGGTTCACATGTATCCCTACCCCTACGTGGGCCAAAGGGAACCCACCAGTGCCTCAGCCGCCAGGCTGACTTCACGTCATGGGGAGAAACACGCGGGAGGGTTCCAGCCACACCGTCACACCTGCACACTGCACGGGTTTTCCCTAAGGACACCATTTCCCCAGCAGTTATTTTAAACAGTCTGAAGTAAGATAGCCTCAGGAAAGGATACTGATCTGGGCTAAGATGAGCCTTATCTTGGTTAGAGAGAGGGCTTGGGGAGAGCCATGGAGAAAAACAGCCAAAAAAATATCACCTCCCAGGATGAGTGGAGAACCTTGATGCCATACAGTTTGGAATTTGTGCAGGGGGCGTGATTCAGTCACATACCCTGAATGCACTTCTCAAAGGGCCATTGCCATGTCAATGCTTTCTGAAATGAGGAAAATTCTGGCATGGGTCCCAGTCCTGAAAGGCACCGACTCGTGTGCATATCTGGAAAAGTTCGCACGGATCCTCTCCTATCACAGACGTGGGGAGCAGTGTGTTCCCACCGGATTAACTGGAGGGCCTGCGGCCCCGCTTCTGAGGCTCACCTGTTACTGTGTCATGCAGTCAATGCACACGAACCCCTTCTCCTGTTTTATTCCCCTTTAGTAATGGCCCTGAGAACCAGTACAACGTCTCCCCGTGGAATCAGGACCAGACGGTGAAGAGAACATCCCTTGCGTCTGCACTATGTCACCTCTCTCTGCTCATTAGTGAGCCCCGTTTCCCACCTCATCTCTGCCACAACCACTCCTGTCCTGCTTGGTGCCATTGGATTTCTGAAAGCTTAATTAAACTGATTTAATACAGAAACTGTATACGTGTCTGTCTAGAAAATCATTTAATTTAGAAAACATGCATAAATATCCATGGAAAATGCAACTATGCAGGAGAGGGTGATACTAACAGCATGGCTGTTCCATAAGACACGAGCTCCATTAGGATCAGAGGAACACGTCCTAAAGGAGTCAAGGGCAGTGGGGGAGAGGTTCTGCCATCATGGAAAGAGGAGAGGGTCATGGACACTTTTACTGTATTGGGACAAGGCAGTTTGCCCAGGAAAGAAGTCCCTGGGGAACATCATGTGCATCACAGGCAATGGACAAACAGGGCAAATCAATGACATTTACCCCAAATGTATATGTGTCATCCTTGAGGGGTCACATGGGCATAACACTGACACACCATTAAACGCATTGCTTTCTACTGAAATAGCAGAAAATTTTCAAGAATAAAAGAGTCCCTGCATGTGTTTGGCTGACTCCTCTGTTCCACTACTATGCATGCATGTGCATCATGTTTGCAAGGAAAGGGGTTGTCACCACAAACCATACAGACGTGACGAGACGGTAAGTGAACACCGCCCATCACATCAGGCCCACCAATTGAACACTTGTGTGCAAGGGGCACATACGTCATAGTTGTGTTAAACTGACACAGGATGAAATAGAAAATGTCTGCAGTCCTTGACTAGTAAATAAATTGAATCCACCTTCCAGAACTTTCCAAAAAGAAGTTGCAGGTCCACCGGATTTCATTACAGAGTCCCTCCAAATGAGCAAAGAAGCAGAAACACTCGATGTAGACAAAGATTTTTGCATGAGATGCTGTGGGAGACGAGACCGCCCTGCTTACTTTGTGAGGTCAGGAACCTAAATGCCCACAGCGACAAGGACATGTTGGGGTCCACAGTCGTATGAGTTCATATTAAACGTGATCCTGTCCCAACTTGCTCCAGGCCAGCATTAGGTACTCTTGACAAATTGTTTAAACTCTTTATTATACATGTGTATATATTTTTTGATATGTTTTTACTGAAGTATAGTTGATATACAATATTATATTTGTATATATTACACATAGTTTCAGTTGGTATACAGCATTATATATATATATAGTTGATATGCAATATTATATTTGTATATATTATATAGAGTTTAAAATAGATGACATAGGGATTCAGCAGTTACACACTTATACCCTAACTTCAACAAGTGCAGTTATTATCTGTCAACATAGGAGGACATTACAGAATTATTGGCTGTATTGTCCATGCTGCCCTGTCATTCATGTGATGAACTGATATTATGATTGAGAATTTTTGTGCCCATTTAGCCCCTCACCTTTCCCACCCACCTGCCCGAATCCTCCTGCACAGTAACCACCAGTCACATCTCAATGTCTGTGATACTGTTTTGTTCATTCCGTTTTGCTTTGTTTTTAGATTCCAGACGTAAGTTCAATCGTATGGTATTTGTCTTTCTCCACCGGGCTTATTTCACTGAGCATAATGCCTTCCTGGTCTGTCCACATGGCTGCAGATGGAGTGGTTTCCGTGATTTCTATTTCTGCTACTTTGTTGTACGTGTGTATATTTCCATTGACACACAAACATACTAATATAGTGGACGCAGTCTTTGCTCTACCCACACATGAGAAGTAAAATATGCAGAGTATCACATTTTTGTTATTATCTCTGTATTAATACTTCCTGAGAATATTCATAGTGGTTTATGGTGATCTAATTTAATAGTTTAATTTCCTTCATTTTCTATTTTGAATATATCATAGCTTGCAAAGTATAAAATTCAGTTTTAAATATTTCAAGATTACAAACAACAAACCTGTTTAAAATTTCCATAAATGAATGGGGAAATGACAGTGTCTTCAACAGATGGTGCTGGCAAAACTGGACAGATACATGTAAGAGAATGAAACTGGATCACTGTGTAACCCCACACACAAAACTAAACTACAAATGGATCAAAGACCTGAATGTAAGTCATGAAACCATAAAACTCTTAGAAAAAAACATAGGCAAAAATCTCTTGGACATAAATATGAGTGACTTCTTCATGAACATATCTCCCCGGGAAAGGGAAACAAAAGCAAAAATGAACAAATGGGACTATATCAAGCTGAAAAGCTTCTGTACAGCAAAGGACACCATCAATAGAACAAAAAGGTATCCTACAGTATGGGAGAATATATTCATAAATGACAGATCTGATAAAGGATTGACATCCAAAATATATAAAGAGCTCACGCACCTCAACAAACAAAAAGCAAATAATCCAATTACAAAATGGGCAGAGGATATGAACAGACAGTTCTCTAAAGAAGAAATTCAGATGGCCAACAGGCACATGAAAGATGAAAACATTGCTAATCATCAGAGAAATGCAAATTAAAACCACAATGAGGTATCACCTCACACCAGTAAGGATCGCCACCATCCAAAAGACAAACAACAACAAATGCTGGTGAGGTTGTGGAGAAAGGGGAACCCTCCTACACTGCTGGTGGGAATGTAAATTAGTTCAACTATTGTGAAAGCAGTATGGAGGTTCCTCAAAAGGCTCAAAATAGACTTACCATTTGACCCAGGAATTCCACTTTTACGAATTTACCCTAAGGATGCAGCACTCCAGTTTGAAAAAGACAGATGCACCCCTATGTTTATCGCAGCACTATTTACAATGGCCAAGAAATGGAAGCAACCTAAGTGTCCATCAGCCAACGAATGGATAAAGAAGATGTGGTACATATACACAAGGAATATTACTCAGCCATAAGAAGAAAACAAATCCTACCATTTGCAACAACATGGATGGAGCTAGAGGGTATTATGCTCAGTGAAATAAGCCAAGCGGAGAAAGACA